TTATTTCACAAATATGATTACAAATTTCATGGATACTAACAGGACAAGAGAATATTGTGAAAAAAATACATGGCTATAAATTTGACAACTTACATAAAATGGAAAAACCCCTAACTACATAAACTTCTGTAGCTTACTCAAAAGTAAATAACCAAACCGTATGTGTATTCACAGCATTTCCACAAAACACATAAACAAACCAAAACACCAGGCCCAAATAGTTACTCAAGTGAATTCTACAGCACAGAAAAAGGAAGAAAGAAAGAAAGAAGAAGAGAGACAGAGACTAACAGTTCTACCCAACTTTTCCAGAAAACCGAAGAGAGAACTTCCTAACTAATCCCCGGGGCAAACATTACCTTAATACCAAAACCAGAGATACTATGGGCACAGAAAATTACCGATAAGCATCTTTTATGAATCCAGTGGCAAAAATTTTAAAGACACCTTTCAGGAAATTGAATTCAACAATCTATGAGTATAGAGTTGCTTTAACATTTAAAAAATTATATAATTTGCATAGCACTAATTAAAAGCATATGGTCATTTCCATAGTGATGGTGAAAAACACGACAAAATTCAGTAGTTATGACTAAAAGTCATAAATTTTTCTCCTTTATTTCCTAATATTGTGAATAAAACAAAGATGTGTAACTACTACAATTCTCTTCAACACTGCAGATGATTAAGGCAAGAAAGAGAAATAAAGACTATGTGCACCGTAAGGAAGAACTAAAACTATCCTTATTTGCAGATTACTTGGTTAATCTAGGAGAGAGTTTAACGGAGCCTATAAAGATAATCTACTAAAACTAATAAATGAATTTAGCAAAACTTGAGGATAAGACAAGATAGAAAAATCAACTGTTTTTCGACATACATACAACAAATACTTGAAAAGTAAAACAGAAATAGTGAATACTTACGGGCAAATATGACAAAAGAGGTAATATACCCAACACTGCAAAGTACACAACACTGTTGATAAATATGAAAGAAGACCTAAACAATGGAGAGCTAAATTTTATTCATGTTTTGGGATACTCAGTATCATGAATGATCTACAGACTCACTGTAATCCCAATCAAAATCCTACTAATCTGCAGAAGTAATACCCAATAGATATTCTAATTATAATTGCATAATAACTAAAAGACATTGGGAAAGTGGCCAAATACATGGAAATTAAACAACAAAAAACAACAATCTATACATACAAGAAATCAAAGAGAAGTCACAAAACACTTTGAAGTGAAAGTAAACAAAAGGCCTACATATCCAAATTTGTTAATGCATCTAAAACTGTGCTTAGAAAAAATTTCATGTGAGGGTCTACAGTCAGTAATCTAAGTTTTCATTTTAGGACCTAGGAAAAGAAATAAAACTCAAATTACGTCAATTGAAAGAAATAATAAAGTCAGCAAAAGTGATTAAAATAGAGATTTCTGTTCCCAACTATGCTTAAAATAACAAACTAAGAAAAAAAATAGGAAAAACTATATGAAGGAAGCATTTTCAAACAATGGAACATGGACTAGTGGACTAACTGGAACAGGAAATAGTGATCCCTAAAGAAAGGAAACAAGGCATGCCACCAGCAGAGGTGGCACACTACGGGGTGAAGAGGAAGCCAAAGACCGAGCCCAGCCTTACAAGAAGAGCGTGAGCTCACAGACAATACAGCTAACATTTACAAAGCAGAGTTTTAGAAGCAAAGAACTTACTTCAGGCCAGACCTAAAAATACAACTATCTAGCAAAAAATTTATACTACATACTAGCTTGCTTTTATATTCTGCATGTTTTATTTTTCTTATTCCCCATAGCCATGGTCCTCAAAGAGTCTCTCTACAAGAGTAACGTGCACTTTTATTTCTACTTTTATTACAGCTATCACTGTAATATTAAATAACCTACATACATACAGACGCATATATACACATGGATATACTCGTATACGCACACACTTGCGTATGTGTATGTATGTAGCACCGATACGTGCTGGAGACTAAGAATTCTAAATATTTAAAGCTCATTTAGTCCTCCTTGAAGTCCTATGAGCTGGGGTCATTATTGCCCTTGCCAAGAACCCTTCCCAGGATTACACAGAGAGGAAGGAATTCACCAGGGTTCAGCCCTAGCATACTGGTTCCAGACCATTTCTGTAATGCAAAGATCAAGACCAGAAACCTGATTTGACATCTATGTCTCCCACTTATGAACCGTGTGACTTACAGAAAATTTCTGCCTCAATATCTACTATAAAATGAACCAGCTTCAATGATCCAGTTCAAGTTACAAAATGACAAAGCAGGTGCTTTTTTATTGACAGACCTGACATTACTAGATGGGGAGGGGGAGCCTTCAAAGCTTAAAAAGGAAGTGTATCTAAGGGCAACGAGGAAGGTAATTAGTAAAAAATACACTAATCTTGTAAACATTTTCTCATTTTCTATTGTATGATGCAAGCATTATGATCCTTACTTTATAGAGGAAAACACTGAGACTCAGAAATTGACTTACTTATTCGAAATTATTTAAAAAAAAACAGGCTGGAAAGCAAACATCCGAATGCATCTAACGCCCAAGCATTTACTGCTCTACCACAGCGTTTTTCTGGTGTCACTCTTCCTCTCTTCTCAGCAGCAGTAAGCAGAGATTTAAAAGTATCACAAATCTTGCAAAAATCACAAATACAGAGACAAGTGAATGCCAACTTTAAAATGGTAATATATTGTTATTTATAATAAAGTAATATATTGCTATCTATTGTTATCTAAAATAAAAGTGGATACATTTCTGTACAAGTTCTACAAGATAGCCGACTACTAAAACAGAAGGATGAATTTCTGGAGGAAAAGTCTGTAAGGGCCAGGAGCTCAGCTCAGTGGCCATGCGCCTCCCTGGCAAGGGCCAGGTCATCAATTCAATCCCTGGTATCAGACAGACTCCTGGTCAAACAGAAACCCCACCAAAACAAAACAAAACCAGAAAAACCCAAGTCTGAAATCATTCCTAAACAATGAAGAAATACCATAAAAAGTCCAATATAGTGATATTTCTAGAATGTCCAGCTATCTATATCTATATATAGAGAGAAGATATTCCTATAGCATTGTGCCACAAAAATTACTTCCTAACAATAACTCAGAATCATTTTGTTAAAAGCAACCTTCAGTTTTCTTGAAACAAACCAGCAAGCAAGGAAGTCTCGTACGCTGGCTACCTCCAGGAGGGCAGGACAGTCACAAATTATAAATAAACTCCTCTTTTGGTTAGGAAATAGAGCCACTCGTTCATTCACAAATTCATCCAATAAATAGTAATTGGGTGCCAAGCAGATATGGGCATTATTTTATGAATAAACTTGTGGTGGGGCACTAAAGAGGAATGGGGTGTGAGTGGCATGATTAAAAGATACACAGGGTGCTACAAGAGCCTGAAGGTTATTTAGGAAGAGTCAGAGCAGTTCCTGAGGGAAGAATTATTTGAAGAAAGAAAGAAAGAAAATTATGTATAGAATTTTTCCCCTTCACAAATATGTCACACATGACATATTCAAAAGCTATGTAGTAACTACACAATTCTTTGCTGTATAGGATGCTCTGTGCTTTACATGCTGCTTACTCTCTCTGGCCATTTTCCACTAAATAACTGATAAAATCTCAGTAACTCACAGAATCCCAAAGTCCTCTATACAGATTCCTACCATCTAGTTGTTAACAACTGCTCTATAACAACCTAAATACTTTAATAAGTTACAGGACCTGTATCAATGATGGGAAACTTTTTAGAGCTCCAGTGTTAACTGCCCCTTGCAGCACACATGTCACTGACCTACATGCATGCTATTATAGGTTCTTCACGTTGGTGGAGCAGGTGAACTCTGATCCCTGAGCTCAGGTTAAAGTTTCTTTGATATAAAAAGTACCTTTAACCAAAAACCCTAGTACATTTCCAAACTAGAATCCCCTAATAAGCATCTTCATCTAACATGATATCCATTTTTAAAAACATAGACAATAAAGTTACCTTTATACATACAGTAGAGAATTAAAGACAGTTGTCCTGATGATCCTGCCTCCTCTCTTTATCCACTGCCCCTAAAAATACTTTCCCCTGCATTTTCTAGGTAATCATGGTCAAGCTGAAGAGATAAAAGATTCTCTTTTATACACACCATTGAAAAGAATACACTGAAGCAACAAATCCAAAACTCATTTACATATGACACGTAAATGTATTCTTGCATATTTATTTGGCAGAATATCTCCCATTAAAATCTGATTAGGCATCTATTACAAGTAATTTACATTTCCTAATCAAACCAATGACTAAAGTGTATGTCTTTTTGGTACTTTTTTTGAAAAAAATACTGAATCTGAGAACTGCAAATATAGCGACCTAAATATTTTGGCCAGTTTCACTTACTGGAATTAGGATATATAATTTATTTTTGGCACTGAAAAACTTCCATATATCAACAGATTTTATATTAAATTACTCCTGAATTTCTACACATTTTTTGCCTGCTTTTTCACTTTACTGTCACTTGTTAGCCAATAACACCTAAAAGAAATCAATATTTTAAAAATAAGCTTCATGATTATTTTTCTTTATATCTAAAACTGTTACAAAATTTACCTCATTCGCACATAGAAATCACCTTGTGATAAAACCATCAAATTTTTGTGTTGCAAATTTTTAATATTGTGACTTAGCAGTTTCTACAAATTTTTGACAGAATGTGGAAACTGTATATTTGTATACTATGTGATACTCACTTTTGAACCAGTTTTAAAGCAATCAGGCATTCAACAGCACTCTAAAAGTTTCTATGATTACAGCATAAGTCACAGTTTCTATTATATTAAGCAGAGAATTCTGGTGCTGATAAACAACCCCACACACACACACAAAAAAATACATAATCTGAAAAACTCTCCCTGTCCTATAAAGTTCTGACACATGCCAAATACATATTGCAGGCTTTGCACTTACCTAGTACTAGGCTGCTTTTGGAGGGCTTTATCCAGGATAAGAGATGGGGCACTCCTCCTCCTTTCTGCTAGTGTTTTCATTTTCTATTGAGAAAAAAATCAAGATGAAGACCAGTTGGCTTGTGAGAGAGGCAAATGTTGATTTTTTCAATCCAATTCAATAAGTTTTGTATTGCTTATCAAGAAGATTATAATTTCATTACGGCTACTACACTATAATACACAAAACAGGATAATAAGTGTTAATAGGTATAGTACTCTCTACGATCACAGAATAGAGATTAAAAGTTGACTACAGAATCTAGGAAAAGCACCATCATAACCATTGCTTCCAGTGTCAGGTCCCATGCTGAAAACTGGCCAGAAAGTGTTTCGCTGACATCCACAAATATCATCAGAGTAGGCACAGTGGTATTGTTTGTACCTCTTAGGCAGGACAGTCTCAAGTTGAGTCTCAAGAAAGAAAACTTAGGTCAAGTAAAGGGGAGGAGAGCCAGTTAAAGCAAAACCAATGGTGACAGATTCTTACATAAATATATAACCTTTAAATTTTATTTTAAATTTAAATACACATTTTAGAGTTGCTTATTCAAAAAGGATGTTTTTCTGTAGTATTTTTCTTCTTTTTAAGTGATACATAAGTATACATCAGATCCTTTGGAATACTTTGTTTCCAGTGATCTGAACTTTATGGTAAATGAGGCTTTATTCCACTTGAATTAACCAGCTAGTTACTCTCTGAATTCAGTCTTACATATCTAACAGCACTAGATAGAGCCAGCAGGTCTACTAGAGACAGACAAGTAAAGTTAGTAAGACAGTCACAGCCACACTAGTCCAGAGTGCAGCTGAGACTGTGTCACCACGCCGGTTACCCCATCCTGTCCCTCCTATGAGACTAGAGTCTCCTGCGAGACTCCCAGGTCTCACCCATGGCCTGAGGGCCCAGGCCAGCCAATCTCAGGAAGAGAACACTGCTCTCAGAGGAACCATAGAAAACTAATGCGCAGACTCAGGTCAGCATCCTGTTACATGACTCACGAAAGGACTTCCAGTTAAGTTAGTAAAATAAAACACAGACACTAGACTAGGACCGAGATGCTGTACTTCACAGCATAATTCCTCTCCCACAGGTTCGCCAGGTTCCCGGGCACTGCTCTCAAATGGCTGCGGTCACCACTATTTTGGTCCCAGTTTCAGTGTTCCCTCATTGACCTTTGGCTTATATGCAGATTCTACAGCTCCAAATCTCCTAGCAGCAGAGACCACTATATGAAAGTTGGTAAGATAAACGTTATCAAAGGGCAGGCAACGAACAGGTGAAGAAACAGACACTATCAAACACTTTAATCAGAGAGAACTAACCATGAACCAGCTTTAGGCTCCAGGTTACTTCCTGAAAAATGTTTGCATGTGAATTTAGTTCCTTTCTTATACAGAAACAGTCACAGCTACCATCTGACTCCCCCAAAAGCCTAACCCCTCTCAACAGTAGTGATTGCAATAACTGGTTTATATCCCATGCTTCACGAGCTTCAGGGCAAGGCTTTCATTAGTTGCAGCCCTTAGAAACATATCCTTCGGGGCTGAGGATTCAGCTAGGCGGCATAAGCGCCTGCCTGGCAAGTGCGAGGTCGTGAGTTCGATCCCCGTTACCAAACCCCCCCCCCAAAAAAAAACAAAATAAAAGAAACATAACCTTCAGGAATCTCAACATACTAAGGCTGTTATGACTACTGTAAGGGTTGCAGGGAAAGGAAATCTGGGAGAAAATACTGACATTTCAGGGTGCAGCAGCATCTATCCATATGAAGACCCTCAACAATGGAAGGCTGAATTGATTTTAACACGATGTGGGGGGCAGTTTGTTCGTATGTACCAAGCTATGTCCCAGACTTATGCAGGACTCTGTTCCGTGTCAGGCTTGGGCTTGATTCTACTCCTTTTATTTAGGACCCACTTTTTTCTTTAAAATTAGAAGTGAGCCCAATTGTGTTAGCTTTATTTTAGCCCCTTACTTCCTGTCTGTTTTGACCTTGAAGGTTTGCCTAATCTATCTTGGGGGCCTTTTCCAGACCTCTGCTTTCCTTAACTCTGACATCGCTGTCAGTAGGGCCTAGAACGAGGCCTTCATTAGCAGGACTTCGAACGCTAGACTACCTGGCATTCAGATGTACAAAGAATTGGGAGGGCTGAAAGGGCAGCTTTACGATGAGTAAACCTAAAAAAAGGAAAGATTGTGGGAAAAAAGTTAAAATGATCTGAGATTCTTCATTGGAAACAGTATCACATGAAAATGCAACATTATCACATGGAGGAAAGTAAGCATCTTTTGAAGAAGATAAAACAAAAAAATGAGTAGAAGTACAGAATAAGCATCCAAGTTGACCCTGGGTATATAATCTGTTGAGAATTTACGAAAGTTGCAAACTATATGGTCAACGTGTATCTGCTGATAATGTAAAAGTTAAGTGCTTATCAACCAATGCTACTGGAATAAATGGGTACATGAAAAAGAATAAGGTTGGGCTTCTAAGTCTTAATATATCAAAATTGTTTAAAACTGATTAAAGGCCTAGAGGAAAAAGCCTAAAACTCTGAAAATCTGAGTCAAAAAAATAGGGAAAAAGTTCATGAAGTAATCAATAGTTTTCTAAATATAACACCCAAAGCACAGGCAACAAATAATAAAAACAAATTAGATATTCTTTGAAATTTAAAACTTCTATGCTTCAAAGACCACCATTAAGAAAGTAAAAAGACAATGCTCAAAATGGAGAAAATTTTTGCAAATTATGTATCTAATAAGTGACTTATTTAAATTACATAAGGAAATATTACAAATCTATCTAACAAATTATCTAACAAAAACACAAGCAAGGGTCTAACTATAAGCAATTCTCCATAGCTACACAAACACCTTAAGCATATGAAAAATGGTTCAACGTTATTAGCCACAAAGGAAATGTAGGAAAAAACCACAATGAGATTTCATTTCATACACATTAGAGTGACTATAGTAAGAAAAGAAGCCATAGGCACAGGCAAACCCTTTCTTGCTTAGGACTCCAGCAGCACAGGAAACAATAGCAAGAGTCAACAAACAGTACTGAATCAATTTAAAAGTTTTGTACAGCAAAGGAAACAGATGAAGTTAAGAAACAGCTTATAGGATGGAAGAAAAATCTTTACCAGCAACTCCTCTGGCAGAGGATTACTAGCTAGAATCACAACAAACTTTAAAAAAAAAAATCCTAAAAATAAACAAATAGGAAAAACCCCTTTAAAATCAAATAAAACTAAAAAATTAATAAATAAGCAAAAAAAAAAAAAAAATGATACTCAAAAGAAGACATACAAATGCCCAGTAAGTATATGGCAAAAATGCTCAACATCTTTAACCATTAGGGAAATGCAAATCAAAACTACACTGAGATTGTCTCGTTCAGAATGGCTATCATTAAGAGCACTAAAATAAATCCTGGGCGGAGGTAAGTAAAATGCAACCCTCCTACACGGCTGATTGCAATGTAAATTAATGCAGCCACTGCGGAAACCAGTACGGGTGCTCCTCAGGGAAGAACGACAACACCTAACACAGGGCTGCCCTTTGATCCAGTTGCCCCAGCCCGTGGTATGTACCTAAAGCAACGAAAAGCAGCACCTGCGGGACACCTGCACACCCACGACTAACGTGGGGCAGGTCACAACAACCAGGACACGGCGCCCGCCGTCTGGGTGCCCACTACACATAACAGCGAAATACTATTTAGCCACAAGAAGGAAATCGTTATTTGCAAGTAAGTGGATGGATCTGAACACCACTTGGGGTTAAGCAAAACAAGACGGACTCAGAAAGACAAATATCACATGCTTGGCCCTAAACATAGCTTGACTGAAAATGACGGTGAACATTTAAGTTCTTTGTAAAAATTGTAATAAAAAACACACTGACATTGATCCCTTTCAAAATATTCTCCCTCACATCAAACACTTGTCCCACTTTCTGAAGCAGTTCGGGAAACCCTTTTTTCAAGTGCCTTTAGCTGTACTGCTGTGATGGCCTTGATGTCCTGAATGGGTTGAAAATGTTTCCATTCACGGCTGTTTCACTTTGTGGAGGTCACGCAGTGCCACATGGAGCGAGCAGGGCGGGTGAGGACAGTCTGCAATGTTTCTGCGCACTCACGTTCCACTGAACAGTTCTCGGCAGCAGCATTCACCAAGTATCTGATCGTATTTCACACAGACAGCAAAGAGGACTTGCAGAACTGCTTTAGGAAGCGGCAAAAATGATGGGCTAAGTATGTGTGCAGTGAGGGGAGTTACCCTGAAGGGAATTAACTGCAAGATCCCTTTTACTGTAAAACGAGAAAAACATACGCCCTGAGCCGCTCCCCCAAACCCGAAACTAGGATGTGGGAAGCGCAAGAGCAGGAAAGTGGGAGAGGGTCAAAAACCATGATACGCATGTGGAGCCTGTCCAAACTAAACTCATTAATCTGTACAGCCAAGCTGGGCCTGGCGCCTCACGCCTGTCATGCTAGCACTTAGGAGACTGAGGCAGGAGGATCGGCGAGTTCAAGACCAGCCTGGACTACAAAGTGAGCTCAACGCCAGCCTGAACTGCACAGCAAGACTCTGTCTCAAAAAGACGAGAAAAAAAAAAAAAAAAAAAAAAAAAAAAAAAAAACCCAAACGAACAATAACAAAAAAACCTATACAGCCAATTTTTTTAAAGTATACACACAAAAAAAGAATTTACTGGTGAAGGTGGAAAGAAATTTGATTTTTATACACGACATGAGAATGTAAAATGGTGCATTATTGTGAAAACAGTTTGGCAGGTCTTCAAATAGATAAACATAAAGGTTATCATATATAAATCCTGAAACTTTACTCCTAGATAGGTGGCCAAGAGTAATGAAATTGCACGCCCACATAAAGATCTGGGCACAACCTTCCACAACAGCATCATTCACATGGAAACAACCCAGTGCCTGTCATCTGGTGATGAATAAACAAAACGTGATGTATTTATACAATGAAATGTTATGTGGTGGTAAAAGAAATAAACTGAAACA